GTACGATTTTCACACAGAGAGTCATGTAGGTACATTCAAACCCGTTGAAATTCTCTTTTATTGATATATCGTGTTTATTATTGTTAAACAATTATTATTAACAATCGAGATTTTTCGATGATCTGATCTACATAATGTAACATTCAATCTTTACATTTTTTATCTCATTTTATTAATCATTATTATATAGCCTATGATAGATAAAATTATTGCACAATCAAGATTATTATTGTTAGTGCATATATTATGCTTATATAAAAAAGGCCATAATAATTTTGTATAATCTTAAAAAATGTCATAAAAGTAGCTGAAAGATGCTGATTTGCGAGGTAATGATTATGCCATAAAAGCTTTATAATATTACATATAGCTTTAACGATCTGTAATTTCTTTGATATTATTTATGATATCAACGATAATAAACGGAATCTCGTCGTAAGCAGTCGTAAAAGTTTAGACTATATAATTATGGCTATTTTTTTATTTTTCTTTTCCTCGCGTGATTATAATACATCACAAAATAATTCGTAATATTCCACAGCTCCGTTTATGCAACATCTTTCACCGATGTTATTAGGCAAATCACTTTCTTGCTCGCTGTCTTTGGATGATCTATGAGCTGCATTGTATCCACGGCATCACGAAAGCCGATTTAATTTCTTTGATGCGTGAGATAAACTTTATAAATATTGCACGATTTTCTTATGCACTATATATTCATCATGTCAGAGAATAATCTTTATTACAGTGTTAGACATTCTGTAAAAACTTCAAATAAATTTACTCTCTGCAGGATTAAGAATAATAGAGATTTTATATTTATATATTTTTTTCGAAAAAAATAGAAATAATTTAAAAGCTTTCGTGAGAGAGATGTAAAAATCACATGCTATTTATTCGCAAAAAACTTAATATCGAAAGTAGTCGTTATCAAACTTATATCGGACTTATTACCAGACTTATTACCAAAATAATTATATGACATTTAATTGCATCATGTATATAACATTCGGATAAAACCTATGTAGCAAAAAAGAAATTCTTTTGAGAAAAATAGCTAAACTATTATAATTTCAAATACCTATTAAAAAAGATTATTCGTACTATGTAAAGAGAGTTATAATCAAAGTGTAGATACATAATGATAAAAGCATGTGTATATCCGAAACACGCGTACACATAGCGAGATAGATACTCACGGTTTGAAGGAGTCAGCCGGGAGGGATGAAATGGCGAGTAATCTCGTGGCGCGACGTGCTTCTTAAAGGGAACGAGCTATTAGTGAAGCGGCTCATCCCCTGTTTAGGACGCATCCCGACGACGAGGACGACCGTTTCTTGGGACGGACCGCCTGAACTTTGACGAGCATCCGCAAGATATTAAACCGAAGCCAAACTCTAACTTGCTCGCCTGCTCCATCTTCGCCCGAGCACGACGCTGTTCGTCGGCTAGTTAATTACTCAGATTCCAGACGTGGGAGACAGAAATTCTATAAAGGATTTTCCCGCGTTACATAATGCTGAATGGCGCTTCTGCCTTTATCTCGCTGTCTATCGGAGAAAGCGGAATAACACTGCGCGCAAAAGTTCGTTCAAAGAAATGAAATCTATTCGAGTGGACTATGCGACGGACTAACTACAACCTTCCTCTCTTTCTCCCGTAATCACCCCGTACCTTCTTTTCCACGGCGAGGTTTCTCCTTCTTCTCCTGCTTGAGCCCATGTACCCTTCTTTATCTGCTGCAGTTGGTGCCGCTTCTCGGCAATTTCACGCAAAATCTTGGAAACTTCGCAGCACTTTGTGCTCCATTGTTTGACTTGTGCTCTAACTATCCGCTTCTAGAATCAACCTAATATTTTACTTCGAGAACGAACAGCCGTCTCGTATGATGGAGAGTTATTGGAAAGTACTTGTACCCGATTGACCCTCTCTTTCTTCCTCCAGGCGTTTCTTACGAAGCTGTGCATTGTCTCTTCCTTCATCCCCTTCGCGGTTTTCTCTCACCTGCTCGTCTTCGCTCGTTTCTCTCGCTGACGAGTACGCCGCACTTACTGTTAGATTCGCAGAAACCTCATCTCTGTCCGAGTTACGGATCTTCGATCTAAAAAGTTTCGACCTGCCCGAGGTGATTCGATGAGGTTTTACCGTTGGTTTCTTGCGTCAGTGATATCCAAAGTAATCAGAGTATAATTGCTCCTATCTCTGCGGGCGGTGGATCCTGCCTTGCTGTAACTTGCGCTAACAATTCGCTCGTATTACGAGCAAGGAAATACGTTTCCGTGCGCGATAACGATTTCTCGGAAGATTAACGACCGAGTCTTTCGCGAAGAACTTTATTTCGACGATCCGTAATAAAAAAATCACGCGGTTGTAACATCGAGGTACTTTCGTCGAATGCAGCCGCGTTGAAAAATCGACGCGAGAGGTAAAATCGGCGTAACTTTTCACTCACGCCGAACGCGGCTTACTTGCTGTTACTTGCCGTTTAAATCCATTAGGACGTCGCGAAATCGCCGGATAAAAATCTTAGCGCGCTAGGATAAAACGAGAGAGAGGTAGGGAAGGGAGGGAGGGAAAGACGCTTTGAAAATGGTGCTGCCGATTATACTGTCGCTTCGGAAACGTCTCATACCCCGCGATGGCTGCTCTTCCATTCGAACGGAATCTTGTCATTCCGAAGCGACGATTGCCGCGTCAAACTTCGAGCGGTCTCTTCAACGTTCCTATCTGGAACACTTTCCGCGATCCGGACCAACTTCCTACAGCGCGAATTCCACATGATGGAATGAGGTGGGACGGTGGGGGCGCGACGACGGTTCTAAAGAACTTGGAGAGCGCGCTGAATCGATTAAATGGCATTCCGAGCTACGAAACTTTTCTCTCTCGCGAACACTTCTTCCAGAATTCATGGTTCACTCGGCATTCCGTCTGGATTATGTTCAGACTGCTGGAGATCACCCGAGATTTGTCCCGCCGCAATATTATCCTTCTTTTCGCTGTGTACGCAGCTACGAGTAATATTATTAATCTCGTCGCCGAAAGTGTATTAAAAGTACGAACGGTTTAATTAATTCAACCGGTATCGAACGGTCGATCAAAGAGACTAAAATACCAATGGAAACGCCTATCGCCGATGTGTTTATCAAAGAGTCGGTGTAATAATTAATTTACTTGCTACAAACGAGATCACTGGCGCTAATAAACTCCGCATAGATGACAGGATCTATTAACCACATTTTCAATAATTAATACACTAACGTAACAATTAATAATTATCGTTATGCAGTGATTAATTACTGACTTCTCAACCTTTAACATTTGTTATTACGTTTGCTATGTTATACATTTAAATTATTGTTAAAACGCGCAACATATACCGATGTAGTTGCCTCTAGTTATGTCAAACGCAAGAGAGTTAAATCTCACGATAAGAAATAGCCTTGCAAAATGTAGCCTGTAAAAGACGCTAGTCCATCTTTCCAATGAAACTTCTTTGAGAAAAGAAATACCTCGTGTTGAAAGGATAGTTAACCCCATCATGAGCCCTGATTTCGTCTTCGACGATCGAGAAAGGCTAAGAATTGCCACCCTAAGGGAGTTCCTCGACGCAATTCCACGGGGATCGAATATCGAGGCGGTCGGACAAAAAGTCAGCTGTCCCTCGTCGGTGCTGATAGATTCCTGATGTGTTCCTGGGATAGAGGTTTTTGCGATGTTCACTCGAAACCTCTCGCATCGAGGTCGTCGGCACGGAAGAGATAAGAAGTCAATGTATAGATACACAGCATCCAAAAATTATGTCCGTGATGGAAAGCTCGGTAAAGTGTGCTCGTTCAACGGCAGCCTCTTCTTGTCGATCTTTCATATCGCAGCGCGCCATATGGCGACGATATAAAAACGACATATATGAGATTACATGCGATTTATCGTGTTATTTTATTTAATAGCTGTCCTCGCGATATAAGCCTTATAAACTTATATCGACATATGGGAATAGTATCCTGTCGTTATTGTCAGAGTAATAAAATGCTGTTGGCGTTTCTATTATGTGCTTACACATTCTTCATTCCTCGTACGTGTTACATCAGCGTAACGTAAACGTCATAATTGTAACAGATAATTCAACCAGTTGTTTCCGAAGGACGTAGATTAGTTCAGGGTTATCTCCGCGAAACATTTCTCATCTCCGTCGACGCGCTTCTGATGATCTAACTCTTGATTCCTCGCATAGCACGTAGCATCACGCGTTGTAGCTCGTTCGATTAATAATCCTCACGTTACCGCGATAAACCAACCTTCATCTCGTCCGTAGCGGGAATAATGTTTCCATGTTCAACCAGTAGGGAGTTTCGTTTAGCAATGTAGAAGCTTCCAAATCTAGTGGATCACCGTTCTCGTCGATCAAACAAATGGACTTACAAGTTCGTTTACTTGCCGATCATTCCGCCGGTTTATTGTTCTTAGGATAACGAGCGTGTATGAAGGTTTATGGTTGCTCGAAGCAACGACTATAACGCCCGAGGTGATCCCATAAAAGAGACTTAAAGCCCGAGTGGATCATGTTTCTCGTTGCACGAAGCACGTACTTTTTTCGAGCCAAATTGGCTTAACTCTTCCTTCGTGTCATACGGTTTTATGAGAAAATCATCGTATATAATATCTACCTACGTTTTAAAGGTATCGCCAACAATCTCGGTTTATGTACTCGAAAGATTGATAATCGCGCGATAGGGTGCATAGGATTATCGTTGTAAAAATGTTAAAAATGTTAAAGGCTTTAAAATTTTTGTAAAAAAATTTAGTATTTTCGAAAAATTGCGAACGCGCGCAAATCATGTATAATATTTAAAAAGACATTATACAACGATAATTAACTACATAATATAACTGCAATGCTTATATAATTTTCAATTTGTTTCTCAAAAAAGGAAAAATTTTCTATAAATTCTATAGAGTATAATATAAAATATTAAATAAATTTTTATCATCTCATTCGTTCATTTTCTATCTACTTTTCGAAGAGCGCGTTCGCTGTAAAAAACTGCAATAAACGCAGCTTTAGCTTTATAGCTAAATTAAGAATAAACGCCTTGCTCGACGCATAACGAAGACATCCCTCGACTTGATTCACCAGCATCGTTGATTCTTAATACACGCCACAGTACCCATTGTCGCCATTTTCCTGGCGATTAACCCGCGCGCCGGTCTCGCCTTCATACAAATTCCCTCGTTCCCGTAGCCTGGGCTATTTTTCTCGCCTAATGTACGCTCGCATTAGCGTCATGGAGTCATCTCTCTCTTTCTCTCTCTCTCTCTCTCTTCCTCCTTTCCTCTTTACGAGAAGGAAAATTATAATTTCTCTGGGAAAAGTCGGCTATCTGAATTTACTACCTCGTGATACATCGCACTTACCCTACGAAAAATTCTACCGCGCATCTCCTTCTTTTCCTGCACAACCTTTCCCTTCTCCTCCTCCTTCTCCACCTCGCATTCACTTCGCTTCGCTCTGTATTCGCGTCCCTGTTCTCGTTTATATCTGCGAGCATTTCCCGCTACCGTCACACTTTCTTGATTGCACGGGTCGCGGATACTTACGATAAAGTATGAATGTGTCGAGGAGCGCGACCGCGAGATTATTTCTGTACATATTGTGCTCGCCAAGACTTACCTTTTTTCAGAAACATTGATAAATGCTCGAGTTTCTTTACCGTGAATATCGACTCGCCATTCAAAAGACTCGTGTGAATCGAAACTGAAAAATATAAAATAAATAATAAGAAAATCAATATATCTACAAAAATATATGTGTATCTACAATCTAAATTATAAAATATGAATCTTAACAAATCATTGACGCCTTTGCCAAAAATGTTATTGTCTCGAGATGAATGAAAAATCGCGCAGTAGGGCTTGGCATCCACCGGATGGCCGTAATTGCTCCGAGCTTGAAATATGACGAGGCCCATGCTGATTCAATTAAACCGCGACGTGATTTCGACGTAATTTAGCATGGCGCCGAGGCGACTGAGCCCGCGATCAGGCGGCGGCGGCGATTTGTCTGTTTTACGGTGGGTCCCTAACTCCTCCGCTCTCGAGCGGTATTATTGCCTAATGCGGATCATCGAGCTTTACCGTGCTCGCATTATGCTCGCTCCCATCCACGGTGCATCCTCTCTGCCTGTAAATCATAGGCCTGCCTCGCCGTTTAAACCACCTACACATTTCAGTAGAAACGACGCGTCGTTTGCCAGCCATGCGCCAGTAGTAGAATCGTTAGTTTGTCGCGGACTACGAGTATCGTAATCGACCAATTAAATTAGGTTGCCGACGTGCATTTGTACGTCAACGTCCGGTGGGATGTCCGTAATTGGGAATTAACGTGCTTGCGCATATATAACGCCGCCTGATGTAATTAGGATGTTTTCGCTACTGCTGTTGTGAAAACGCTCGTGAGCGCGTCGAGAAAGCTGTGACAATAGCGCCTCGTTGATGCGCTACTTCGTCCCAGACAACGTTGCTAATTATTTTACTTTATCCCGTTAACCACACGTATCGCACACGGCCTTAACGTTATTGCAACGATGCGAGAGCGCTCGCTATACCTAATTGTCAAAGTACGCTGCGTCGTGTGATACGTAAAGAGACTTTTCAGAGAATATGCTTCGCTTTTAGAAATAAAAGCGACATTTTCATAAAAATATATTAACAGATGAAACGAATCTTTTACAGAAATTCACAACGAAAGTTTCATTAAAATAGTTCAGAGATTAGTAATTTTGTGCATTAACGATTATTATCATAAAGAGCATCAACAGTTGTATATTGTAGTAACTTTTCTTGTAGCACACATCTTTAATTCGATTCAGCCATTGTTACTGCATTGCAACGAAAGGTCACCAGCTTGAAACTTCGAATTTTCCCTTTAAATTTGCCAAGAGCGCAGTTTCGAAACGAGAAGTTATTATCAACCAAAACCGGTGAACTATTTGCGACTCGTAACTTTGCAGGAGCGTGAATTTAAAGTGCAACAACCACGAACGCTAGACGATGGTGGTGATGATGTTGGAAGACTCTGCAAACCGGAATCGAAAGCCGGATCAAAACCGACGCAAAATCTCTCACCTATAGTTCATGATATCGCGACATACAGAGAATCGCGGCAACACGCACAAGGTAAGCAAAGCGCACACTATAAACTCTTTACCGTTGCACTATTAATTTGGTACTTAGGCAAGATGAATTTATACCGAGTAAATAGCGCCTCGATGTTCGACTGATGAGATCGCACGTTGTTGGAGCGCTCGTCAAGTGTTAAGAAACTAGGTCACGTGAGATTAGTTTACGAAATGAAAAATATGGTATTACAGTACATAATGAATACACGGTTGCACTCTCGACCTTTAGGAAATCGTTAGCTTCAATCGCAACTAAATCATATTAAGATCGTAATGATATTATCAATGTAACTCAATATTGCAGAATATCATTATTGGAGAATATCAGGGCGGATTGTATTATTTTCGCTCTGGCAATTTTTGTGTCTCTTTTTTCTCTTTCGTTTCTTTCCGTTCTTCATTTTTTGTTTCTGACGACTTCACAGAATTTCCGAGAATAGTCGCAAAGGGTATACTGTCTTATTTCCCATCGGAATTGTATTTTAATACGATATATCTCACTTGTCGTACGCGATTTGTAAGTGTTGCCGCTAACTAAATACGCACGCAAAAATCGTAAAATTATTTATATCCATCATGGAAATTAATTATATTACATGATTTCATTGTGTCTCGTTGATTATAGACTATCATACATACATTTGGAACATTATTAATTTTGCTTCTATTTACTATCTATATAGATTTATTCGTAATCGAATATTGAGACCAATAGTCATTGCAATTTCGCAGTAGTTATTGCGTAGCATGGTCAGCCAGTAGTCATACTAGCTCATATATATCAATCAGCGTTAGTGAATAACATATATCAATTATAAGTCTAATAAAAGTTTTAATAATATTAATAATAAAAGTTTTAATAATATTATTAATATTATATTCTCGATTATCTAGAATTGAATAATTTGAATAAAAGATCGCGATAAGAAAAGAGACTTAAAATCAACTATTAATCTTGCTGAATTTTAGATATGTAATGTAAAATGTAACATCTACGTTTTTTTGCCAAATTTAATTAATTATAAATGTGTAAATCAAGATTTTCGCGAATAGTTAATTAATAAAATTTAAAATTTTCAATCATTCTTTTTTAATTTTTAGTTCCACAGTTAATTTCAACATATCTCTTATCTAATTTGATAGTGCATAAAGAATCTAATTCATTCATCGGATAGATCTGGGAGAGGTAGTCTCATTGTTCCGCAGTTAATTGCACGGTAATTACAAAGCGATGCTCGGAGATCAAGATGGGTTGTTTTATTTCCGCTCTGACGATTTCTGTGTTTCCCTTGTTCCCATCTCTCGCTCCTCATTTTTCCTGCATTTTCTTCGAAAATCGTCACCGTGAATATAATGCTTTATTTCCCATCAGAGAATTACGATATAATATATTTGTAATTGTCGTTAGCATTAAACTTTTCATCTTGAATAACCTCAAAACCTAGTTGTCTTCTGTTTAATATAAATTTGAGAGAGACACGAAGTTTTTATTTGTTTTATGTATTCTTACATCATTTAGGAAAAGATAAAAAAAATTATACATGTAACATATGCACGAGACGCGAAATTAAATCTAGTTAATAAATAAAACTTTAATAATATCTGGAAACATTTTAATTAAAATTATGTTGTCATTTTTATATTTATATATATTAAAGTAGCGCGCTATGGACGTACAGTAATTCTGTCGTTCATTGCCTCATGTTTTATGTCTTGTATATTTTTTATGAACACATTTTTTTCTTAGACTGATGTAAAAATTTTATGCCGTACTTTTACGTCTGCATCTAAAGTGATGGTCCTAACTCCGGCAAAGTCTGCAAGACCGATGAGTACAGATATTTTCTGTTCTTGACGATTCATATAATCTCGCGATCTCGATCATCCTCTTCGAGCAATTGAATTAAATACTTAATGCTAAATGCAATCGAATCGAATGCTCGCTACATCAAATATTCGTTACCCAGTGTCCCAATTCTGATTACGTGTTTTGGAATAATACCGAGTTTGCAATCGAGCAAATCGCAATGACTGCTGTATAATCTCCATGACAAAATTTCAGGATTGGTGCTGTTGATGCGAAATCTTCTAAATATTAGTAGGTCGCATTTTATTTCGTTTTTCTATGGCATTGACGTAATCGATATATCATTGCATTCAAAATCTCGTATAATTTCGTTATGTCAATAAAACTGTAAAAATATGTTAAATTCTACTTTTATACATGTTGCGAATTCTATCGTGACATAAGCTAATTAAAAAATCATCCAATCAGCAAACAAGTATTTGGCTATGTTTGCATTTAATTAAATTTATTGCGACGATAACATTTCGTTATACTGTGTTGCAGTTTATTTACTAAATATATATGCATATGGATAAAATAAAAAGAGTAAAACGATATATGCATATATGAATAATGACATACGAACTAAAGTGATGTCAAAAATTATAAAAAAATATGATCTAACACTAGTACAGTTTAATTCTTTATAAAAAGTATTTTATTTTATAATAAAACGTACACATAACGTTTTTATAAGTTTAGCATTGATTTGCAAGTGGAAAGCAACAATATAAATTCAATAGGAAGCAACAAAAGCGATTAGAGTTTTTCTCCGCAATTATCAAAACGGGATATAGATTGATAGAGCCATTCATCCTGTCAAAGTCTCGTTTAGTTTCTGCGCTTACACACAGCATGTCGCACAGCTCAAATCGGCTTGTGTACGCGTAAACTCCGGAGCACGTAACCAGCCAATGCACGCGGAGAGGAAAATTGTGAACGGGACGTGACAACGGGCTTTTTTTCACGACAAGAGATCGCATAGTTGCAATAGCGAACCGTTGGTTCGTTGCCGAACTATGAACAAACAAGCGCTAACGATAAAAAACAAAGGCTGTTGAGTTCTGGCCGAGGAAAACCCTGGATATCATATTTGGCCGTCAGAATCTTTTTCCTACCATTTTTTTTGTGGACATCTGCGGAATCTCAAAAATCTGCTCATCCGAGAATGTTTATTGCTACAATTCTGTATCGAGCACGCATACATATGTATATTTTCAAAATTTTATTATAATTTCCAAAAATCCAAGTTAAATAAGATTTTACAGTTTTAATCTTTTTAATATAAAACGTTTTTTATAAAAAAATAAAAAATCTACCGTATATCAAAGTAAAAATTGTCCAAAGAATTTTCTGCCATTGTCCATAGAGATAATCCAATTATTTTCAAATATCATTTGTATGAATTATAGTCTGCATCTCCTCGCCTGGTGAGTGAAGAGAAAGACGAAAATTTAAAAACTCGGTCACGCAGCAGTTAGTCGCACGATTTAATGAAACTCTTGCAATATGTAGAGTGGTACCTGGTCACAGGAAAAAGGAGGGTGTCTGTGGGTGGAGGGAAAATTACCGTCGTGACGAAGTGGCCATTAATAACGCAAAATGGTCCCACGACGCTTCATTACTTTCACCTCTTTTTTTAAATTAGCACTCGAGAAAAAGTGTTAGACGGTTGGTACGTTCTTTGAATTAAACCTCTATATGAGTTTCATTAGAACAAACAGGTAATGG